GTGTGTGTGTGAAGTGCATCTTTCACAGCACATCTTCAAATGTAGCAGAGAGATGAGACCGCTTCGGCTGCTCTGGAGGAGAGGTGGCATTGAAATCCAACAAAATAGAGGATTTTAAATGGAGGGGAGGACAGAAATGGCTGACTGGAGCGTGAGTGACAGAGAGAGAAACATGTCTAGAAAGATGGGAGGGAGGGGAGGATGAGACGGCGACAGCATCCTCAGTGCTGCACAAAGCGGAAGGCCAGGGGCTCTCTCTCTCTCTCTTTCTCTTTTCACATGATTCATATTAGTGAGAAGCAGGGAAGAGGACTCAAGTGTGTGGCATGTGTGCTGTAGGTGTGTGTTAATGTACTGTATGTCATGCGTGTTTGCATGAGCATGGGTGATTTTGCATGTGTGTGTGTGTGTGTGGCTACTTGCAGCCCTCTGTGTGCATCCTTCAGCTCTTTCAGCTCACCAGTCTGCCAAATCACACTCAAAAAGCAGCCAGAGCAACCATCTGTGCAAGAAGGGGGTGACTGAGTGAGGGTGAGTGATTGAAAAAGTGGTCACTCACTTGTGTCTGTGTCTCTTGTTGCGAGCGTGCACTCTGTCTCGACTGTGTGGTTTTTACAGGCTCTGTCATTAGGAAGTGACAAAAGAATGCGGTGAAGAAAGACAAAAAGTACAAAAAGAGAGAGAGAGGAGGGGCAGTCTGCTCGGCTTGTCGAGGATGAGTGAGCCTTTCTCTGTTTGTCTCTCTCGCTTTTTTGTTTTATTCCTGCCATTTAGAGATGGGGCGTAACCATGGTTATCACAACATGATGTTAGGAGAAAAGCACGAGTTTATCAGGTAGTGTGTGCCTCTTGTGCAGGTATGCATGTTAATGTAAGGTGTTTGTGTGTGTGTGCACTCAGCTCCAGCACTGTGTTTTTTTTTGTGTGTGTTTTGGTGACTCATCCCCTCTTTAAGCACTGATTGATGTTAATGTAGACCAATAATAACCAGCGGCTGTGAGGCGCTGCAACAAGGAGGGGAGGAGACGACAGGAAACGACAGGCTGAAATAACGGCAGGAAGCGAGGGAGCGAAGAATTTTAGTAATGAGGAGGCGTGAGGAAGAATTTGGAGGGTGTAAATCTCTGAAGGATACATGAAAGAGCTGTAAACAAATGAATATGCACAAACACACATATATATGCACACATGCATCTTTACGGCCCCCTGGGGTCTCACAGAAATAAATAATAATATTTCAGAAGTTGCAAACAACTGCTGCTTTAAAAATATCTTCTTTTAATGGATGTTAGGGCAGACACATCAAAAGCCTGCACATAAATGAAATGAAGGAAGAATGTAACCACTTGTTTTGGTAGATGAAAGTTCACTAATAACGTTAATTATGTTATTAATAACATGACCCCCTTTTGTGCAGAAGTACCTGTAGTTTGAAACAACTTCAACAAAAATATTATTAATAAGTTTACTGTCAATAGATCCTTTAAAGTAACGTTATGTAAGATTTGGTACTTGTACGATCTGGCATCCCAAAGTTGCAATACCACTGTAGTAAATATGGACAGCTGCACACATGCATTTTTGATGATTACATTACTTATGATCAAAACCTAGCAAGTCGCAAACTTTTCTAACTCAGCCAGACATCAAGCAAGGGCAACAACACAAGACACAGCAAGCCAGCCAACAGCAAGAAGGCCAGCTTGCTGTCTGTCTGCAGCCTCTTATTTCACAAAGCTCTCACCAACAACCTCAAAGCCAATCCGAGGTTTTACTTTTGTCTGGGGACTTCTCTTAACTTTTTCTCTTCTTCGCTTCCTCTGTTTGTCCTCTTTAGTCTCTTCGCCTCTGTCACTAGCTATGTCCATAGAAGCTGCTGAGCCTGCCTGCGGCTAAGCTAACTAGTGTAAGTTAACAGCAGCTGCATTTCATAGCAGTTACTTTACTAAAAAAACTCTGTACAAGCACTTAGAGTTGAGGGGGAAACCAGAAAAAAAAAGAATCTCCAGAAAATATGATCCAGTTTCACCAAAATCAGTGATATAGTTGGTGGTGTGTGCCTTACTGCTGTGTTACTGCAGAGTGGGAATGACAGTGACACCATCACCCTGTTACAACTAAGTGCTGTAGTCAAAATGACTTTAAGCTGTTATTTCAAGGTAGAAAAGTTACATAATGTTGCTGTAAAGTAAATGTGCCAATACAACCCCTCTAAAAAGTCCTGCATTCAAAATTACTCGTAAAAAGCATTAGGAAAATGTATTTGACTGTAACTATTATACTATATTATTCTACTTATATAGATAATTATGACTGATGCATTCATGTGTTCACTATTTTATATAGGGCAGCTATTATTTTCTATTATAGATTCATCTACTGATTATTTTGACGATTAAACAACTGGTTGTTTGATTTGTAATACTTAGTAGTGAGAAATGCCGTCACATTAACCAAGAGCACCAAGTGGCACCTTTAAAGTGCTTGTTTTATCCGACCAATAGTGGCACCTTAACATAATTCAGTTTAGTGTAATTTAAGACAAGAAAAGCAGTTTATCCTCAGATTGGAGAAGCTGGAACCATGAAATGTTTGCCAATTGTGCTCAAAGAATGAACTGAAATGATTTATTGGTTATAAAAACAATGTTTCAACTTCCTGGCGGTCAACCAATCATTTCACTTCTAAATCTTTTAGAAGTTTAATCTGTAAAAGTGCATAAATCTGTGAAATAAATGTAAGGGAATAAAAAGTCATTCAACATTTCGCTCTGACAAGTACCTCAGATTTGTGCTCACGTGCAACGAGACAAATCGTACAATCCAAATCAGGTCTACTCTGAGTAAATTTACTGCAGGTCCACCAGACTTCCTCCCACTTCTTCCCTGTTTACCTCAAGATAAAATAAAGTGTCTCTTTGTCTGCCCCACTTAAGCAACATGCTGGAAGGACTGTGTGTGACCTCTTGCCCGGGCTGGTGTGTATTTAAACCTACCACTCTCCCCTGACGGCCTGACCGTGTAACTCTCCTTGACTTACTGGCGTGGAGCGAGAATATGAAGCTGGGATATTCAGTGTCCTTTATGTGGTATGTAAATACTGTGGTACAGTCTATTTGTGGACACCAGGGAGATTTTTTATGTCAAAACTACAGCGGGACTGAAGTCCTACTGAAATAAACAATCCGAAGTGTACCTTCAAGCAGAGAGGCTTAAAAACAGCAGATTGTTTGACACATTAACGTATGAGCCAGCTTGGAAAGAATTTCTGAAAGCTTAGCAATGTAGGAGAGACAGTTGACGTTAACCTGGCAGGATGATGTGCTGTATCTGTGTGTGTGTGTGTGTGGTTTCGCGGTGGCTTTAAATACGCGTCATCCTCTAGTAAAACACACATCTTGTCAGGTGAAACGACAGCACTGCTCATCCAGCGAAGACCTCAGTGAAATGGAAGAATGTGTATTTGTGTGTGTCTGACAGTTGTGATGTATAAAGGAATAGGTAGACTGAGACAGCATTGATTTCTCACACTCACTGCTGTGTGTTTTTTCTTCTTCTCTGGGACACAAATGTATACGACTGTTGGTACTTGTGCTTGAGGCGCTCTGTATTTGTGTGCAGTGTATTATGCATTGTCTCACGCCTTGCTAGATGCCCTTAGATGCCTGATAGTGAGTAGAACTGCTTGTACGCACTACTTCCCTTCTGTGTATCTCTGTTTTTTTTCATTAAAATATGCATGATGCTGCAGCTTTCCTGTCAGTGCTCCGGGCACCCGGTTCACTGGACGAGACTGGACAAATACTACAAGTGAAACTCTCTTCAGAAGCATTGTAGTTGCTCTGACCGTACCTCTCTGTGAATGAACTGAAGGGAGTTTATCTGGGCTTTTCTGGGTTTGTAGGGTATTTTTCTGCCATGTGTATGTTTTGAGTTGTTTGTCACAAAATGAAACATTAAAGCCTTTTAAAAGGGTCAAAAAAGGGCAGGGCTATAGGCTACTATTAGTGAAACAGGATGTGTGTGTGCTTTTGTGTGTTTGGAAAGGCTTCAGTCATTCACCCTGCATGAACTACGGTCCTTTGTTTCCTCTATAAAACACAGCAGTGGCTGATTGTCTGTATTGTTACTCACAGGCGGATGATTACTGTGGGAATGACTGATTGCTCAACTGTGTAGCTTTCTAAACATTTATGACTATACCGACTCACTCTCTTTCTTGTTTCCTCTCCATTCCTTTGACTTTTCTCAATCTTTGCTCCTTCATCTCTCTCTGTCTTCTGGTCTGTTGATCTCTCAGAGATGGCGTTCCTCCCGGTCCTCCTCCTGCTGCTGCTGGCTGTTGCTCATCGTGCCACTAGTCAAATCTCGGAGGACTCTGAGGCTCTTCCAAGAGGCTGTGGCTGGGGCCTTGTGCGCCCCTACACCCTCCTCTGTGACCTGGACTCCATATGGGGTGTGGCTGTCGAGTCGGTGGCTGCTGGTGGGGCGCTGACTGCCATCTTACTAGCCCTAGTCCTGCTGTGCCGTTTACACCATATCAGTGAGGCTGAGAAGCGCAGCGGTGTGGGACCCATCCTCCTGCTGCTACTGGGCATCCTTGGCTTGTTCGGTCTGAGCTTTGCTTACCTGATCGAGCAGGATGAGTCTTTATGTTTGCTTCGCAGAGCCCTGTGGGGTCTACTGTTTGCAGTCTGCTTCTCCTGCTTGCTGGTGCAGGGCGTCCGCCTGCGTAGGCTTGGTCGCGAGCGCCGGAGCCCTGGAGGCTGCGCCCTAACAGGCCTTGCACTGGGTTTAAGTGCTGTGCAGGGCATCATCGCCGCTGAGTGGCTTCTTCTGACCGTGCTGAGGGAGGGGCGAGCTGCCTGTCAGTACCTGCCACTGGACTTCTCACTAGCCTGCAGCTACGTGCTAGCCCTACTACTAGCCGCGCTGACTGCCGCCTCCCTGGCCCTGTGTGGGAAGACACGTCAGTGGCGCTGCAATGCCGTGTGGCTGCTGGTGACCTGCCTGCTGTCGCTGCTGCTGTGGGTGGCCTGGGTGGGCTTCTATCTGTACGGCAATGCCTGGTTGGGGAGGTCCCCGGACTGGAATGACCCAGCACTGGCCATTGCTTTAGTGGCTCAGGGCTGGCTGCTCCTGATCTTCCATGCCATTCCTGAATCCCACATCTGCCTGAGACCCCCTCCACAGCCAACTGCCCCGGATTACTTTGACACCTCCCAGAACTCGACACGCATGAGGGAGACCAGCTTCGACGAAGACATCCCTCTCTCTCATAGGCAGTTTGTGGAGAACCAGGGCTACGGATACAACGATGAGAACACTGCAGGTACAGTACAACCCAATATTTTACAGCAGACAGACGTAATATGTGCGGACAGGCTGTAGGTGGAATGTAGGCCAAAGTGAGTAATAGAACACCAGGAAATATGCATGCGTGGCTAGAAATAAGTACAGGAGGAAATTTCTGTGGTGCAGGATTACATAGCAAGTGTTTCTTCCTTTAAGAGAGACGGTGAGTAATCTCTGCCTATTTCATGCCAGGCTTGAGGAGCGGTAGCGGTGCTGGACAACATAACAGTAACACCGGGGCCAGGCCCAGCGCTCCTTTCCGCAGCAACGTCTACCAGCCCACCGAAATGACCATGATCCTGAACGGGGGAGCGGTGAGTACATCCGCCCAGTCACAGGTACACGCCGCTTACACGCCGCTCTCTCATTCTACCACGCCGACAAGACTGCATGCACATTTGTGCGTTCCAGACCGTACGTCATTGCACAAGAATGAGGGAGAGGTGTGAGTGTGTGTGCATTATCAGTTGTGGGTGCATGGTCACGTGCCTGTGCGTGTTGTATTTTGTGGGCACATGCATGGATGGGTTTGTCACAAATGGTCACTCATCTGACATTGATTTGTGTATGGGTGAGTGTGAGAGAGTTTCCATGTGCTCCTGTGTGTGTAAATAAGCCGCGGTGCTTTCTGTCCACTGAGTGATGCGACTGTCTTCCGGCCTGTCACCCCCTTCATTATGCAGGATGAATGGGCACTCTGCCTGGCACAGGTGAACTTGTTTCCAGCCACTGTGTTATGAATTAAGCCCGCCACACAACAGCACAACACACCACCTCCAGACTGGAGGCTAAAACACTGAAGCACACACTTTACTGACTAAAAGATAATTTGCAGTCACTAGAGATTGCAGCTAGGCTGTCTGGCCAACACCAGCAGTTAGCTTAACGAAGCATAAAGAATGTAAATAGGGGAAACAGCTGACCTGGCTTTGTCCAAAGCTAACAAACATTTTAAATCTTGTTTGTCTGATCAAAAAAACTGAAGTGTACAGATGACAATCATGCATGTTGTAGGTGTTTATTGTTAGGACAGAGCCAGGCTAGCTGTTTCCCCTTGTTTCCAGTCTTTGTGCTAAGCTAAGCTAACAGCAGCTGGTGTGACATGAGAGTGGTATTGATTGGCAAAAACAGTCAGCTCAGTTCCCTAAATGATAAACTATTGCTTTACAGAGAATGGAGAGCATAAAGGAATTTAAAGTTGGGTTTAATGTGGGAAGGTCTGCTTCTGTCTTCTGGAAGTTTGTTCCCGCTTTGTAGAGCACAATAATTAAATGCTGCTACGCCATGGTTCACATCCAAATCTGGGACAGCTAGACAGCTACCAAATGACACAAGAGGGTTTTATTTTAAGTTAAGAGACAGTCAGAGATGTGTTTTGGAGGGATGTGACCACGGAGGGATTTGTAGACAAGAATGAGTATAAATTATAAATGGGACGTCTGCAGCTACTGTATGCGTGTGTGTAAAGATGCATGCGTGAAAATGTGACGCTGTCCAGTTCCTTTATCATTTACCATCTTCATTTTCCTTTCTACAGGTGCCCTCTGCCCCTCCAACCTACACGGGGAGGCAGCTGTGGTGAGTGAGAGGATTGGAAAGAAGATGTGTGGTAGAAAATGAAGAGAAGAAGAAGATGGAGAGGATGGAGAGAGTGATGAGGGAGGGAGGGGCCCGGAACAAGGGGCCCATCTGGTTGAATTGGACTGTGGACTGCCAACAGGACCCTTTTCACTCTGTGTACAGACTTAAACACTGACTGTGTGCCAATCAACTATTGTATGAGTGTGTGTGAGACTGAGAGAAAGTAGGGTATGGAGGACAGAGCTAAAGCTCTTCTAGCACACAAATCTCTATAGAAGGGTTGAAAAAACTCAACCAGCAAGTAGGAAAACAAACACACGCTGACTCAGATCTGAAAATATCAACATGCAGTATATTTTTCTTTTTTGTTTCATTTGCTCCCCTGAGACTACAGCACTGTAAGCATCCTTGAAAACTGTGAAATCTATTGCTTTTTCCTGCTCTCTCTCTTTCCTGTCAGTCAGGATGTCTTTTCTGCTGCTCCTCACAATGCTGGCGCTCAAGTGGAAAACATTTGGCTCTGTCCTCCATCCATCCACAGCGTAGGTGAAAGACAGAGCACATGGGCAACTGTACAGCTCGAGCACCGCCCTCTTAAAAAGAATCCAGCCTCTGTGGGTGTGTATGTAGAGTATATGAGAGGGAAGAAAAAGTGTGTGTGTGTGTGTGTGTGTATTCCCTACACCTCAACTCTGCCACTCCGACAAACCTACCCTCTCCAGACTGTTACCCCTCGGCTTCACCCGTGAACACGTCCTCCTTCCTCCCTCTCCATCTCTGTTGCCTGGTTTGCATTTCTCTGCACCGTCTGTGAATATAACACATAACTCTTCTCACCTTGCCCCATCCTCCCAACTGCATGGACACTTGGCAAAATGTGAAACAAACTGTGAAGCCTGAACTGCGGCCGGAAAAGACGTTCCCGGTGATCGCACACGCAACAAAAGCAGCCTGAGCAGAGGGATCACAAGCTGCTAATGAACTGCTGTTATACACACACACACACACACACACACACACACATATATATATATATATGATTGCATAGAGTGGATTCTGATTGGACGAGGAGGGTGTCAGTCATCAGCAGGGAAGCACCGCTTCATGAATCTAGGTCAGACTACTGTGTGCTGCTCTCCCACATCTCCGGTGGCCACTGGCGGTTTGAACCAGCCAGGAGAAACTGTCACTTTATATCAGCAGGAAACGGAGCGAGGAAATGAAATGGTCTCCTGTTCTTAGTTCCTCTATCTGTGTTTTACGTGTGCGTACGTGAGTGTTGTGATTTTATGAGTGTTGGGAGTTGAATTCAAAATCAAGGTTGCTTTCTGGTGCTAAATATCCCTCCACATGGCTTCCCAGTGAGGCACAGAACCACAGGAACAACACTGATGCAGATCAAACTGTGAGTGACAGACTATATATAGAGCTGTGTGTGCTGGTGTGTGGAGATATCCTAGAGCCTCAGAAGGATCGGATTTACAGTGCAAGGTAGAAAGAGAAAGATCAAATGGATAGGAAGAGCGAGGAGGAAGGAGATAGCGAGAGGCGGTCCGAGGGGAGTGTATGCGACAGTGTAATCCCTGTGACTCCCCTTCAGTCAGCCCGATCTGTGTGAGAAAATGGCTCCCCGTCTGTGTGTTTGTTTGTGTGTGTGTGTGTTTGTGTGGCTGATGTGGGGGCGGCCCATGCTGCTCTGCTCTATGTGGTTGTCTTCTTCATTTGGTGAAGCATCTCTCCCTCCTCCTCCTCCTCTTCATCATCCTACTCCTGTCTCTGTGTGGTGTGCTATAGCTCAAGTCTCCGTGCCAAGAAGGACTCTTGTTTCACCGGAGTCTCCGTTTCACGCCCTTTCCCTTCATCGTGACACCAGCTCTCTCTCTCTCTTCACCCGAGAAGCTGTGTACATAGTAGTGCTGTAAAGCTTTGCTTGCTTTACTGTTTTTTTTTAACTGTAGGCTGAGTTTAGACACCAGTGTCATATGACTGACTACTGCAAATTGTTTTTATCTGAGGATTGTTTTTTTTAACTGGTTTGCTTTGTGTTCATACATTTGCTTGTTGTCGCATTATGATTTGATTTTTCTCTTGCTGGTGTCTTTTTATTTTCTAAACTAGCATTTTGGAACTGTTTTGCCAACACTAGATATGCTTTTATTATTATTTTTTGTTTGATTAATGTTCAAGGAAATTATAAGAGTTGTCATTTATAGGGATTCATTCAGTTGTACCTCCTGCACTCCACTCTTTGCTGTAACAGTTACGGGGATACAAACATTATTATTTTTTTCACAAAAATGACAATGGCTGTGAATAACTTTTGGCACTTCATGCAGTAAACAATAATCAATCTGTGATACTTTAGGAATAATTATAAAAAACTGAGCAGGTAGGGCTAAAAAAACCCAAACTTTAAGCCCACCAACAGTTATTTAGTTGACCCCCTGGTCTTATAGAAACCCTTGACTAAGAAAAGAATAAAGGTCAACCCTTAACTGCTGTTATTATGTTTATGTCTTACCCACTGGCTATTCTAAAATAAGACTGGTACCAGCAGGCCAGCTCCATGCCCAAAGAGAGCGTGTCCTGCTATGTCAGGCTCTGTTTGGGCCTGATCAGAAACAGGCTGTGGGACCCAAATCTGTGCATCGTAGCCCACGAAGAAGAACTGTCCTCAGGGTTTTGGATGGTCAACAGTAACGTAACAAAGTCCTGTGAGTCTCAGCACTCAGAGCGGAGGGGGGAGGTTTCAGTTCTTGTGATGAATTCACTCAATGTGGAACACAAAAAAAAAAGAATAATAACATGTGACTTTGTAGATTTTGCACTTGTCGACTACCTATCTGTGCATGCTTATCACCATTTCTACATGTAAGACCTTTCTCAGACGTACTTTTGAATACTATCTCTATTTATGTAAGGGTCATGTGACAGCAATCATAATTTCAGTGTATATCAGATGACACACTTAATGTCTGTGTTTTCTTAAACACAAAAGAGAGCTGGCTCTTGAGAAGCAAAGAGATTAAAGTCAGGGGGGGGGGAATGGTCCAAAATAGTAAGAGTCCCCAAAAAGGAACACAATGCCATCATCACTGGACCTAACAATAACTTTCCTCTGTTAGTTTGAAGTCTGGAGAGGAAAAAAAAGAGAAATCTTCTGACTGATATTGTCTCTGTGTTTAAAATCAAATAGACTGTGGTGAAATTTGCACAAAACCTCTATATGTTAAGTTTGTCATCCCTGGGCAGCCCACTGAACACCCTTCCTCCTTGGGTTTGACATGTCCTTGCCTGTCCTCTCCTGATTTGTCTTGCCTTCAGACTGTTCCAGCGGGGCAGCTGACAGGGGTGATATTGGTTTTCACAGCTGTGACTGTGCAGTGACGCAGCATGCCTATGTATAGAACTTTATTCCCCTGATTAGAAAAAGAAAAAAACAGTTAACTCTCTTGTTTCTGTAACTGAATCAGGAAAAAAAAAAGTTCAATAAAGGTGTCATGTTTGTAGTTAACTTTTAATTGGATGTGGGTGTTTTTTTTCCCCGGTAGTGAAACGGTGACACGGATGATGATTGTGAAGATTGTCAACATCAGAGCCTGAGTGAGACTTGTTTTTTGAGACCAATGCCAAGATAGATATTTGAGTTTAAAAACCTGTTAGCTGATATTTGTTTTTGTTTTTAACAGAAACACAAAATATATACATTTTTTATAAGAATCTCTTTAACCAAGATGTAATGAGTGAAAATGTAGTTCTCTGTACTGGATAAACTTTGTAATGGAGACACTGTGTCTATTTATTGGCTGGATTTTAGTCAAAATCCTCATGAATTTCATCATAAAGCCTTTTTATATTTTGAAACAGACTTTATTGTTGAATCCTTAAAACATTTTAGTATATGTGCTATTTTACCAAGCGTTAGATGAAAAGATTGATACCACTTTTGGGTCTGATAAATATACCAAGAGCAGCCAGTTAGCTTAGCTTAGTACAAAGCAACAAGTGAGACAACCTGTACAAAAATGTTTTTGTAGGGATTAAACAAAAGAGATACCTGTGAATTAATGAGCTTTAGGGGTTCCGGTAGATAGATTTTATTACTTTTGGACAGAGGTCAACAAGCTGATTCCCCCAGACTTGTTTCCAGTCTTTATGCTAAGCTAAGCATAGCTTGCTCTCTGTAGCTTAATTTTTTTTAACAGTTTATGAAATGACATTGTGACACAGGTCGCTAATAGTGATGAAACTACAGGGAATTATCACTTAATTCAGCTTTAAGGAGTGTCTGCAACAGTTTTGTGTAAAAATAGCTCTAAAAACCTGGTTTAGCTGGTGAACATAGTGGAGCATTTAGCAGCTAAAGAGCCAGATATTCACCTCAGGAGTTGGTAGAGACCAAAAACGGAGCTAAAAAAGAGTGAATATTGGACTTACAGTCATGAGGTGACCAGAAACACAACTTCAAATAAACGATAATGTTGCTCTATAACTCAGAAAGTTCAACATATCAATTTAAAGTTCATATATCAATGTTGCCAGTGGGGAAATAAAAAATCAGTTCTTGCCAGGTTTGCTGTTCGACAGGTTTTTATGAAACACACACCAAAATATATGATTTATTTAGGAATCAAACTGTATGTTTTCCCTTCAATGCTGAAGGTCATGTAGCAGTTCTAGTGTCTGTTTACATCAAAGACCATGGTGTTAGTGTAATACTCAGTGTCTTCCTAGCTCATACAGAAATATATGCTCTAAACTCTCTGTGTGTAAACACAGTTGTATTCTACACTTCCACCTTCAGCGTAGAATCACAGCCCAGAACCAGTTGTTTTCTGGCTTCGCTCTGACAGCCTGGTGCCCACTCCCTCCGTCTGCTGAGTGATCCAGTTTCAGTCAGGCCCAGCGCTGCCAGACTCTGTGGAGCTGGCTGCACTATCAGATGTCTCCAGAATGAAATGGGCTGTTTTATCACCTCACCCAATGGCAGCTGTCTCCCAGGCATCCACATACCTGCAAAGGGAGATACATGACCCTCTTCATGCCTCACTGTGAGGCGGTGTGCATCAGTGACTGGGATGGTCAGGAAAGCCGTCCATCACGAGACCGCCGCCTCGCTGCTCTGCAGAGACAGTGGTGGGGGGAAACCAGAAGTATACTCTCAGGTACGCAGGGTTCAAGGAGCGATGGAAAAACGGCAGGAGTGCACTTTGTTCTCTCAGTTTAATTGACACACAGTCTGGAGAAGACAGTTACAACCTGTCTTATAAGTTTGCATGAAGGAGAGTAAAGAACTGCAGAGTCAGTTAAGCAGCTGAACTTTCTATGGGTGATATGACATTTAAGTTGATGTTTAATCACTACCAGGTGCAAAAAAAAGACAGCTGAAGGTGCTGGATTCAGCAGGGTCAAAATGCAAAATGTCTGAGCTTTAGGTACATAAAGCAAACTGAAACCATATAAGGAAAATATTCTACATTTGCTGTCATGTGGGAATCCTCAACAATAATATACAATATGTACAAAGTACATTCAAAGATGAAAATATTAGGCAAGGATGCCATCATACAGAAAACATTTTTTTTTGATAGTGAGAATTTATTGTGATGTTGGTGTTTTATGTCTTGATGAGACCAAGCTTCAAACCATCACACAACCTTTCTATCCTAACAAACAAGTTTGCAGACTAAATGTTTATTTTTCCCCTCTTTGACATTAAGCAGCTTTTCCATAAAATACACATGCTAATGTTTAAAATATTAGCGTATAATGTCAAACTTTCCTTACTGCAGGTAACATTCAGTCCACATAATGCAGAATATATATAACAGGGTTAACATCCCTTGTAAAACAGTAAAATCTAAGGATAATATTGGAATTATACTCTTTTTCATTCTCCCTGACAGGATCATTTTCTTTTCTGATAAACAGGATAGAAAGTGTTGCTCTGCACGCTGAGTCACCTTTCACTCTGGCCTCAGTTCCTGTCTTGAATGGAAATGCTATAACCTCTTTTGTGGAGTGATATGTATTGCTAAGGAAAAAGGAAATGGCAATGCAAGGAAACACAATTTGGTTATCTTCCAGTGAGCCATCAGCTAGAGGTGCTGAGAGGAAATATTACGTCTGTTACAAGAGGTAGTATAATATGTGAACCGTGCTAATATGCTGTTCATTTGTTGCATGAGACTCATGAAGGGAGGTGATCAATCAAAAACGCAATAAAAGTAATCAACTAATTAGACATGGATCTCAGACCATAAATCCCTGCCTGGCCATATCCAATTGGTTACAGGCGTTTTTAATGGTTGTTTGACTGATCACTTTGGTCAGTCTGACATCAACCTAACAGAGTTTAATAGCCTTTAAACAACAGGGAAACCTTGCACACAGCTAATGATTTCAGTTAGCAGTAGCACCGTTTAGCTCAGGTGTTTAGATCCTAGTAAAGACGGAGACACTGCACCCAGAGTTTTGTCACATGGCTCGGATACTGCCAAGAAATCAGTCATTGGTGACGGCATGGAGGCCATTTTCTCCCCGCTGTGCAGGCTGGGGGTCAGCCACTCGCTGCCCTCAGGGGTCATCTCGGGGGTGGGGGTGTGGACCACGGTGCTCTGGGGGGTGGGGGAAACAACCTGGATGGACACGTCGGAGTTGCCGGGCTGGGGGCTTTCTGGAAGATCTGACATGGCGGAGCCCACTGGAGACAAACAAAAGCTGCATCTTTAACAGGAACGGGTTCGTTGTTGTTTTAAGCAGACCGTGATGAATGTTCATCATTTAGAAGTGAGTGCAGCAGACCTCAACATTGAGTTTGGTTGTTTAAAAACACCATGGCACTTCCAAAAACAGAAAAAAGATTAAAAGCTCACAAAATTGTCAAACAGATCTTTAAATGTTTTACAAAAAAAATGCCTACAAGGGTTTTTATTGTCAGATATTGCAGACTTATCTCTCTGTTTCTAGCACAAATGTTGCAATGAGAAATTAGCTCCCCCTTTATTTCTGTAAAACAAAGACATATCTAATTATAATGTGAGCGTCCTGTTTTTGGTAGTAGTAAGTACATTAATCTGGTGTTTAAATGCCCAATTACTTTCTTAAACAGTAAAATATTAGTAGAGTTGTGCTATTGAGAGTTGATCGGAAACAATCTTTTAATAAAGCCTGGGTTAAAAAAACACCATGATTCAGCCAGTTACTGACACTTTCTCTCTTTGACCACTGCAAGGTTATTGTGGTGGCCTTTTGTTATCGGCCAGGAAAAGGCAATGGCTTTAACTTTATGGAAGTGAAGCTATGATGAATAGACTGCTATATTTGGCCATTTATTCCACAACAAGAGCAACAGATGGATCGTAAATGACGGCAGTGAAAGTTGTTTTGCTTTATTTACACTCTAACGACTGTAACTGTGGTTTTGAAAAGCGCTAATTACTGTTTTTTTTGTGCTATTTGAGTTGCATGTAGATACCATCTGTAGCATCGACATCTGCACCGATGCTGCTCCTTAGTACCTTTTTATCATCTAAAAAATAATTTCTTTGTTTCACACACCATGACACTGATACTGATCATGTACCTTTCATAATGTGCCATTTATAAACATGGTGTGGAGGATCTTTATAATAAATAATGGAAATAAAACTGCAGAATGAATGAATTATTAACTGTAACCGACATTGCAAGATACAGAATTCATGTTCTGTCAACATAAATTGTTATTTTCTTACAAGCACTCTGACTTCTTACTATTACCATAAGGAGGAATAGTGTTCCTATAGGCTAACTAACTACTCTTGCTTTACGCTTGGATCGACGTCAGGCTGCAGTCAAGGACAGTCATGTGGTGATTCATGAGCTGTTGAGAGCTGCACCTGTCCAATGAGCCCTGACTTTTTGACCTTGATGTATTATGCTGTGTCTCTGGGTTACTTGGCTCTCTCCCCCCTTTTGTTTTACTCTCCATCTCTGACTAATTCTGATTTCAGACTGTGAAATGGCAGAAGAGGTATCGCATGCTGGTTTCCTCGGGTGAGATGAGATGAGTGCAGCTGTTGGATGGACTTAAAGAGCGTGTATACAGTAGGGAGAGGGAGGGGACTTCCCTAAATAATTCCTCTCTCTAACTCTCTCCTCTCTCTACCACAGTCCGAAACACGGGTCGTTTATCTGTCAGTGCTGGCGGGCAGCGCTTGCTTCATTACATCCAACACAACAAAAACAAGCAAACAAACTGCAACTTCAGCATCTCTTCCTCTCCCTCCCTGTCTGCCTCCAGATCACACATCTCTGGTTCTCTCCAAGTCTTTCATTTCACATTCTGTTGAAGCGGTCAGAAAATGGCTTCCACTCAGGACAGTCTGGGCAGACTGTCTTAAACACTCACGCACACATCCCCAGGCACCCCCCCTTCCCCACTATAATGTTAGGTCAGCAGTAGTGGTGCAGCAGCAGTAGCAGTAGTTAGCAGCAGCAGCAGCAGCACAGTGTGGCTGTGGAAGAATGTCCGTCGGTGGCAGTGAGCGCTTTTGTTGTGTGGAATGTGTCAGTGTGGAAGAAACCTGTGTTTATGATGGTGTCATTGTTTGTGAGCCACACGATGCCCAGCTTAGTGTGCAAGTGTGTGTGTGTGTTTGTCATCATGTATATGCACACTCATTTAAAGCGCCAATGATCAAAATTTTTGGATGGATGGGTCACATGACTGGATTGTGAAAGGGATCACTCAAAGCGGAAAAACTCCTGACTTTGCAGTTCAACTCAGTTCTACAGAGTTTTATAGCATCTTTCAGCTGTTTTGGTTTTCTGGCCACAACTTTACTACTTTGGTTCACTCTTACCGCTGTCATGTCGTCGTTTTTGGTCGGAGCAGGCAGCAATTTCTTTACCAAAAACGGCAGGTGGAAACAACCGCGAATGCTAAATGTTGCCCTGTAACTGCTGGATGTGTAAATAACAATTTGCTGACAAATTAAAAAGTGATAATCAGTCGTTGTTGTGTTCACAGACTGTTTCTGCTGTCTCCAAGTGGCTCACAAAATTAGTAATTGCAGGTTAAGCACTCAAGTTGTAGTGTAGTGGTTCCCATTACTTTTTAATGTTTCTTAATGGGATTTTTTAAATATTAATTCACTATAGACAAAACACAGTGGCTGTAGTCGATCCATAGCACATGGGAATCAATTTTTGATGTATTGTGTTTTCTTTTTCAATAGGTTCAGTTAAGTTTGTACTCTACCACCGCCTGGTGTGGCTGAACATGGACGTTTCAACCAATTATCCATTACTTTCAGGATACTCATTTTTAGTAATATCTATTTTGACTCTTCTGTCCACTTGCTAACTAGTTTTCATACAATTGCAACATGTGCTGGTACAATGTTACACCACATGCTAGCCGCTGCCCACAGTCCCGCAATGACATTGCTAATATGCTGTTGTTTAGCAGCACATCCACTTCCTCTCACTGTAGAAAATGAAGCCACTTTATCCCGGATACGGCCACTGTCATCTTACTCTTAAACCTCCTTTTTATAGCTTCGAATAACTAATTAGAACCAAACTTATGAGAAAAATTAACACTTGATCAGCGTGATCAGAACTACATGAAATGCCAGAAACCATCTATGAGGAAAATGTATTTGTACTTCAAATTTTTTAGTTTTGCCCATGTCCCATCTGGTAACATGGACGCAGCGGGTTTTATTACCGATCAGCCTCCAGGGGGCGATCAATATGTTTTGGCTCACTTTTAGGGGCGCTATCATGTGTTCAATCCTGAAATATGTTGATGTAAAGTAAGCACAAAAGACAAAGCACAGCTGAGGCTGATGGGAATGTTATTAGTTTTTCCATAAATCACAGTGTTGGACAAATTTATATTTTGATCTGATGGTGGCGCTAGAGGAAAGGTCAGGCTTCATCCTCTGGATACTTTATTTATGTGTTAAGACACTTCAGTCTGGACCAAAGTGGTGGACCGACGGACTACCATTGCCATCTTTTGAGCTAAAATGAAACCAATTTATAATCCTATTTGTGTTTTTATTTTCTTCCCTTTTTCAAATAAAATCAAAATTGATATTTTTTCAAATTAGCTGAACTTGGCCAGTCTTTTCATCTAACCTCTGGTAACTGCGTAGTTGCTGGGAATCACTTATACAGTGTACTACCGAGTGTTTGTGTTCAAGGGCAATGTGTCGTTACTCTCACTGAGCTCTAAAGCCAGTCCGTCACAGCGGACATGGGCCTGCATTCTCAGCTGCTCTGTGCTCAAACACACAAACACACACACACACACACATTCACTCAAAGGCCTAGACGCACTTTATAATTTTATACTTCTCTGCCCTCCTCCGTCTTCCCTCTGTATCTTCTCTCTTTCTTCACATGCATCCCCAGTCAGTCCCCATCCTCTGCTCTATCTCTCTGTCACACAAACACACCCTGAGCCCTGCGGACATTTTCTTTCTCTCCTTCACTCGCAATCTTCTCTCTCTTTCTCCTTACTCGCTCCCCCTGTCTTTTTCTCTGCCTCTGCCCTCATTCTCTCTCTCTGTGTCACTGCTCTCTGAATCCTCATCTCTCTGCTTTGACTTCAAAGCCTTGTTGGGATGAATACTGTATCTCTGTAGTCCATACGCATGTGTGTAATTGTGTGTGTGTGTGTGCTGGAGACTGCACAGTGCAGCTGATGATATATGTGCATGAGTATATCGGTGTGTATACTACTGTATGGGTTGACATCTATGCATTGTGGATTGTTTGTGTGAATGTTATCATGTTCTGGCATCTTGCCTCCCTATCAGCAGCTGTTGAAAATTCAAGATCAATGGTATTGTGTTGCCAGCGAGCCTGAGGGCTGGCATTCAGTGATACCATGTGAGGGTGTGTGTGTGTGTGTGTGTGTGTGTGTGTGCGTGCACTCTCACCTCGGCTCTCTTGTTGGGCCCAGAAGTGCTCGATAGTTTTGGCAATGTCACGGTTCTCTCTCAGTTCTTTCTGCCATTGGCGCAGCTCCTGCACATCTGGCCGTGCCCTGGTCTATAACACACAAGAACACGTGCGAAGGCAGCACATGTATACATTTACATTAGCAAACATCAATATCTTAATTAAGTTGAAGACTAATCAGCACAAGTAGGCTTATCTAAAGTGGCTCATTTAGAGAATCCAATATGTTTTTTAGTTCATTGTGTTTTATTGACGTCAACATTCACCACAAACTCCATACTCCATACTCTGCTAGGTCACATCTGTCCAGCTGCAAACGCTTACGCTCTAACTTCTCTCTTCTGTCAGTAATATATTTGTGTTTATATTAAGTGGTAAATTGACAAATCTTTTCACTTTTATTTGTTTATTCCACGGTCATGTTTATTCTTTAGACTGAAATTTCCCTGAGTTTGTGCAGCTGTAGTGTTGAAATGTTTTAATCTTGTTTTTTTTTCCATGAAAAATAACTGTCTAACTTTGTTTTCAAAGGTGCAGTATTATAAAGCTGTATTATTATTTGTATAGTTTTAACATGTGGTAAATTATGAAAATCAGCTTTAACTTAGAGGCTACACCTTTGCATAATGAACACATTGTGGCGTGTGTGCCTCAGTGCGTGTTATGTAAAAGTAGCACAGTACTGCAATGAGCTGTATTCTGAAATCAGAAAAAAACATAATTGTTGATAGTAATATATTATTAAAATGTATTACTGAGTGTGTTTGTGTATCCTATGTGTACCACTTGAGTTGGTGAGGAAATGGGTCAAATCTGTCTCTGAATCTACTCTCAGTCCAGTCTGTAGTTAGCATGAGTTATGCTTTTGTTCTTGGAGAAAACCCCTGTAGTTGTTATGTGTATTTGTGTGTGGGCTGCTGGCTTTCCTGAGAGATTACTAAACAGACTTGCTGTTTTAGATGAATAGAAAATGACCCTGAAGAGCTCACTCTCCCTTTTACTTCCTTATCTCCTCCTCCTCCTACTACTCTCCAACAAACTCCTTCCTTTTCTTTCTTCCATGGCCAGGTGTGCCTCCTCACGCTCAACCTCAGACACTATCTCTCTCTACCAACGCCTTGTTTCATCTCTCTCCTCTGTATTCTCTTCCACCTCTCCTCTCTCCAACCTTGTTTTCCTCTTACTCCTCCCTCTCCATTCGACCCCAACTTTCTCCCGAGTGCCTGCCTGAATGGCGACAATAGTGTTTCTATTAGCAGTGGGTATGAAAGTGGGCCTGTTATATAAGCCTGGCGATGGGTTGAGGAATGGGTAAGACAAGAGGGCTCCAATAGTTAATTTACCGGGTGTCAGAGTGCTGCAGCAGCCCTCCACTGATGGGAGCAAACCATAGAAATGGAAATGAGGGGTGAGGGTCAGGAGGGGTGGGGGTTGGAGTCTGTTTGCTCGCCATGGTTTGTGTGTGTCTGTGTCTGTGTGGCCATTTCTACTCTGTGCCACTTTCCATTGGTGTGCTGCGGAAACCTTATACCTGCCAGCCAATGCTAAATGAAAATTTTATATTCAACGTAGCTGTGACACACAAAGCCAGAAATCTCAGTTCTTGGAAAGCTTGCTTTTTGAATATACATGCAGGACGCTGACAGTTTGTGTGTGATAGCAAGAGACAAAGAGCTGGGTTTAGTGTGTGCGTGTGGGCATTTTGAAGCCTGTCCGGGTGCATCAGAACAGCTGATTAGCAGGGCTGCTGTATTGTTTTGACGGTGATTTGTATCTCTGTATTCTGCATGTGAGCACATATATATTTGAACTTACATACCATTTTAATTTTGAGCAGCAAATTATGTTTTTCTTCATCTATTCTTCCTCATTTTAATCATCAACTCACATTTGATAATACAGTATCTTGCTTGCTATAATCTTTAACGTCACACACGACAGTCAGTGTGCATGTGAGTCAGTCCTCTGTATATGCATGAAGGTTGGGAATACAGTGATTAGAAACATTTGTAAGACATTGCGAGGCTGCATGCATTCACAGGCATTACTTGGAATTCAAAAGCAAACACACACAAATTAAAAAAATCACACAAAAGCACAAAACGTGCAGCACGAGCAGAACCCCCTACACTCACCCACAGAAATGCATACAAACTCTGCTGCTATGCCCTCTTTCACACACACACTTCGATCCCACTGCACAGCCTTTCAAGCTGCCTTCCTTTTTGTGCAAAGCTGCCTGTGAGACTGAGTCCCTCTCCCATTCTCACACTCTGCAGCAGCACAATGGATTCTTTTTGGAGGAACTGGCTGCAGTCACATCACCAGCCTCGCTGACAGGCTGCATAAAGACACAGCCACCACAGCCTGCTCTGTCTACGCTTCACACTCCATCCGCCCACCGATCCATCATCTTTTTGTTGACCGACGCTTCCATCAAGGCTTAACCAGCTGAGCGACCTGTGATCTGATTCATGCCTTTGTAGACTCAGGCACAGCGAGTGGTCGCGCTACGGCCTTACTTCAAATAAAGGTAAATTGGATCTAAAATCCTCTGTAAATTTCAGATGATAGTGGATATCACAGGACTACCTGAGGAGGCCTTTCATGCTATGACCAGTTTGTGTCATTCTGGGACAGTGAGCCCCTACAGCCCCTCAGGGGGGTGGGGAAGTGAGGGCGAAGTAGGGCCATCGGCTACTGGATGTCCTGAGTGCCTGTGACATATTTTCTGCATGAGTGTCACTGCACGTGGCCCGCTGAGTTAACGCTGGACCTCAATTCAAACCATTCATCTATCGCTGCCCTTGGATCATTCAGCTGGAATCGCAGACCTAGTTCTGCTGTTGACTATACAGCTCTCTGGGTGTGTGTGCGAGTGTGTGTGAGAGATTATTTCAAACAGCTCTATTAGTTTATGTCAAGAAGAATACACTCAGTACTCCCAGTGTCCCACTTTAAGAAAATAAATGTGCCTGCTAGTCCAAGAAGACTTTCAAGAAGACATGTTGAAAGTGTAACAATATTTTTACATTTACATTACTTACCAAATGATGGCTTACTATTTATTGTGCATTGCATTGTTATTCTTAAAAAACAAAGCATCTACCAGAGAGTGAGAAAATCAACACAGTTTCCGCAAGATCTAAGACTTGTTAGACAATTTAAAAACCAGTCAGAATAAAACATATGAGCAGTTTTGGCACAGAAATGACTATAAAAATGACACAACTTAAGATTTTAAAGCCTTAGTTTGAAGGGGGGAAATATGCTTATTTGCTTTCTGTGTAGAGTTAGATTAGTAGACTGATACACTCTTGTGTGTAGTAGTTAGGCTCTGTCCGAAGGTAACAAAATCCACCTACCAGCACCTCTAACAAATGAACATGTTATATTTTGTTTGTTCAATCGACACAAAAGTGTAAAAAGGACAATTCAGTGTTATGTGGCGGACTATTTCTCGGTTGGGAGCGGTAACTACATGGCATCTTTGCGGGTTGCCTGGCAACTGCTCCAAACAGAGAAATAATCGGACACATAACATCCCATAAGACAGCAAGGAGAATTGTCATTTACACTGTTTTTTTGTACAGAGCCTGGCTAGCTGTTTCCCTCTCGTTGTGCTAGAATTTAGTGTACAGGGTTAGGCTGCACAAGGCTATGCTGCACAAGGCTATGCTGCACAGGACAATGCTGTGCCAGGAAAAGGCCGACCTCGCTGTGTGGACGCTTAATAAATCTGCGAATAGTGGACAGTGGAAATGATTATGATGAAAGCCTGCTTCTCTACTTGACCACAAACCCTAATACTGACAGCCTAATTGTAATGCCTATTTATTACACAGCAGCCACATTACTGCGACTCAGCTGACTAGGCCTGAGAGAGGCTGAGAAGTCTCAGCGTGTGTGTGTGCATGTACACATGTGTGCATTACAGCAGCAGGCATGGATGAATGGATTAGAGTTGCGCTAAGGCACACAGTCTAAAGAAGATTATGTAATATGTTTAGACCCATCAGCTCTTTATGTTTGTACACGAGGGAAAGAAGAGACAATCGCATTGTCTGGGTCATAGATATGAGTTAGTGTGTGTGCGTGTTTGCTGCGTGTACCATCTCTACCGCTGCTCTTCCTCAGTCCCTCAATATGTTTTGATGAGACGTATTAATAATGGAGGGATAAAGCTTCAATCTACAAAAATACTCTCCTTCCCTGCTTCCTGTTCTGGCTCTCGGTCTGTCTCTCTTTCTTGCAAACACACACACACACTCACACAAGTACACACACACCCTCTGCAGTCCGCGCTGCGTCAGGCAGGTTATATAACAGCAGAGGGTGTAAGAGTGAGGGGGAAAGAGGGGGTGTGGATGGGGTTGAAGAGAACAGGGTATAATGATAAAGGTAGAGGACTGCAATTTGGATCTAATGTATAGCAGGATAATTGTCATTGTCATGCTGATATCTATAATATTTAGAGAAGTATTTAAAAACTACATAGAAAACTATACTCATCACTGAGTCAAATGGTTTTTTTTGTGTGTTTTTCTATAGTGAAATCCCATAATCCTATTATACTCTTACAGTACAAGCCCTCAAAAATATTTAAGTACTTTAAAATCTCACACTAGTTCAGTTTATGGTGAAATATAGCTTGTTATTGTACACTTCGGTATTAAATCTGTGAGCCATGATATCTTGAAACTGTCTGAATACATTTATAATGGGAGACAGTTATTATTATTACATACAGTACGTACACATTCTCAGGCCGGCAGACTCAAATGAAGTTTTAAAGTGCTTCACAGCGGACTCTGTTTGTGCTGATGTCCTCGTCTCTGCTCTGCTGCCCACTGAACTGTTAACTGCTGTTTTTTCCCCAGCCAAGGTAACAGCAGCCGTGACACACTACAACGCCTGTCAGGACATTGCCTCAGTGCTAATACCCAAAATATCTCCACCCTGTGTAGCTTGAATAAGTCATGATCCTAAGAGGCCAACCCTCAACATCGGGCCCTGGTTGTTCTGCGTTCACAGCCTCCCTGTGCTTCTCAAGGGTTTCTAGCTTCCGCCTCTCTCCCTATTCTTACCCGCTACGGATGCTGCCAAGGCCGCAGTTCCCTCCATCTCGACTCATTTCTAATCCGAGGCCACTCTGCAACATCATCTTGCCTCTTTCCTCCCTTTTGTCATCCATCTGAAAATGTTCCCTAACACAGCCCGGGCGTCATCCTCCCAATCACTCACTACTGTCGCTCTGTCTCTTTCTGGCTGTGTTTCTCTCTTCCTCTAAATCCCTTGGGGGGCTGGGCTGCAGTGGCCCTACTGAACCTCTCTTAGATCAGAGTAGACACAGTGAGGAGGAGTGACAGGCAGCTGGCCCAATGCTGCCACCTCATGTGAGCAAAAGCCAATTTTGTTTGTTACAATTTCTTTGTTGTAACAAAAATAAAATAAAAAGGAAGTGTTGCCCCCTGCTGGTGCACACGTAGTCCAAACATTCAACCCATTTTTCATGCACACACACCCACAAATTCAAATGCATGTAAAAACATAGTTCAGTCAAACAGAATGTAATTGTTCATGACAGCACAGCTGTCAATGGTTTGTGCAGCAAGACTGAAGCTGAATCCTCCCACAAACACGAAGGAGAGGAAACATAATAAAATAAAAGCTTCTGGTGAGACAAACAAAAACATGACCCCCGCTTACATCCTCACACTATACAACACTGGGGTTATTTGTGTGTGAGTGCGGACAAATTGCTTTTGATTGCCTCTGGTAGTGTCTGTTTATGTCTATTTATATCAGAGTACAGAGCACTTCAGACCACAACGCCCACACAGGAAGGAATTAAATATCGGCATCACTGATGACATAATCAAGCTGCTGAATGAAACTGCGGTCCCTGTGGAAGGGGGGCTTTTCAGCGGGATGGGATTATACAACGAGATCGCACTGTGGGCCGATGCACACGCAGGAGGGCAACTATTGTATCTCAACAGACCCATACACCCAGGCAGAGGCTCACTGTGGTGTGGTGCGTTAATTGTAGGGTTCCTTCATGTTTCCTACTTCAAAATCCTATTTTATTCCACACTGTTACTTCCTAAATTAGTCTGAAAAGCTTGGGAGATGGAATTTAGATTTGGCAAGCCTGAATAGACCAGCCACGCACAGCTGAAGTAATATGCATCCATGATTAAGCAACATTTTTGCATTTTGTTCCAGACTTTTAATTGGACATTCCCCCAAGTTTCTTAGACTATAGAGTTCATATGTGTATTTTTCCATATTCCTTTAGGCTTTTCAGACCTGTGATCAATTTTCTTCCACTTCTTTCTCTCTGCGCTCCTTGTACTTAAGTATAGTTTTAAACAGAAAGCCTGCAAACATCGTTTTGCTTCTTATCATGAACAGTGTACCTTATATCCCCTCCAGAAAGCCTGGATGATAAGAGCAGCCTGATCCTCGCTCAGCAGCAGAAACAGAGGGAGGGGAGGCCTGGGACTGAAGATAGAGAGGGAAAACAAGGAGAGAAAACATGAGGGTGTGTCACCTCATCTAAATTTAAAAAAACAAACAGCATCTATCTGTGGGCAAGTTTGTGTATTGTCATGACTTAAATCTATTTTTTAAATAATTCTTCCTGTGAAATGAATGAATGAACAATGAATTTGCAGGTGACAGCGGCAGATTGAGGAGACACTCACTGCACGCTGAGCCAGTCTTTTACAAAAGGGATTTCCTGGAAGTTCACTGGCACTTGTCCTTGCCTGCAGGGGTTGTGGCTGAGGAAAAAAAACACACACAGCCCTCAGAAAATATAACATTTGAGAGAAGTGATGAGGTGAAGTAAGGTAAGATATATACAGAGAGAGTTGTGTGTGTGTGTGTGTGTGTGTGTGTGTGTGTGTGTGTGGGGTCTTACTTGTAAAGCCACTCAGTTAGAAAGTCACATGG